CTGACTGAGTTAACCCATGCATGACCGCTATATCCACCAACGTTGGAGAATTAAGAATGGGAAAAGAGAAATATACATACAACCGACACTTTTGATAATCAAATTTTCTGTAGAAATATTAGGAAACCAATATAAAAGAATTCCAGGAAACGCTGTAAATGAAGTTGTCTTACATTGGTAATGGATAGATCTGATATCAGGTTGATTTCTTCTAACCAGATGTACATAAGAAAACTAGAGCTTACAGCATAAATGCCTGTGCATCATTCCATGCTAATGGTTAAAGTTAATAGAAGTAATCCTCGATTTACAAGCACAATTCAGCCCCAAAGATCTGTTGTTAAGAGAATATTGCCCATTTTGCGACCTTTCTTGACACAGTTGTTAAGTGAATCACTGCAGTTTTAAAATTAGTTACATGCTGTTAAGTGACTCTGAGTTCCCCATTGACTTTGCTTGTCAGACGGTCACAAAAGATGATCACCCTGGGACACTGGAACCATCATAAACAGGAGTGAGTTGCCAAGCATCTGAATTTTGATTATGTGACAGTGGGATGCTACAACGGCCATGTGAAAAGCAGTCATAAGTCACTTTTTTCAGTGCTGTTGTAAGTTGGAACAGTTACTAAATAAACTGTTGTAAGTTGATGATTACTTAACTCATTAAAAAAAAAAATTACAATGCAGATTGTCCTCAGTTAATAATCACTTGTTCAGTTACTATTTGAAGTTACAATGGTGCTGTATAAGGAGACTTAAGACTAGTTCTTCTGGTCTGTGACTGTCACATGATTACAATTCATAGTCAGCTCACAATTACAACAGTCACAGCATCCCACAATCATAGGATTGCTATTTGCATCCTTCGCTGCTGGCTTTCAACAAGAAAAGTCAATGGAGAAGCCAGCAGGAGGTCACAAATGCCAATCAAGTGATACCATGCTTTATGATTGCATCACTTTGCGACAGAGTGGCAGAATCTCAATTACTCTCATTAAGCAAGAACTATCTTTATGCACAAGTTATAACTAAAGCCCAGTTTTACTGCAAACAAGCCCATGGTATTCTATGCAAACAAGAGTGTCTATCTAGAAACTAATTGGTCTCCCCACATACTCCTGTTCACATCTCACCAATTGGGGCACATATGAGTAGCTGGGGTCAATACTCATGGGCTCATTTCCTGATGATTGTGGAAGAAAAAATTGTATTTGTCAAATAAAAAGCAGAAGGATACAACAGATTTTAAAGAACGTGGTCTGATCATGTGAAATTGACAAATGCGTTCTTGAAAGTATGGTATAAATATATATATATATTACAAGTTATATAGTTTATTCCCTTAATTTTACCATTCACAAGTACATTTGTGAATGTGACCATTTGATAAAGGGTTAAAAATCTGACCAAGTATACCTTGGTAGAACATTTCCTAAAGACAGAATACCTCTTTTTCACATCTTTTCATACTTTAAACTCTGTTATCATATCACTATTTGCACAATTGATTTTATTTGTTCTGTTCCTCTCAAATATATTTACTTTACAATTCATTTAGCATTCCTTCTATTTTGGTTTTTTTATGCCCAAATTGTTCTTTTTCTTAATTCTCAAAAGTATTTTTTCGATGTTCATATTATTTCAAGTAATCACTTATAATCTCCTCACAAATAACACTCACAGAAAAACTGATTTACTCTTTTCATGTTTTTTTAGTGTTTTCCTGCCAACATTCTATTTAGAAATGCTTTATCTGAAGTGAAATTGTTTGAATAAACTAGGACAAAAGACAGAGGTCAAGGATTTTTGCCTATGTGTGGCCACAATTAATTTTGTTGATTTGTACATTTCTTTAAGTCATTATCTGACCCATCCTTACTACTTGTTTTATTATGGCCCTTACTTGTAAATTTAGAGCATCATTTTCTAGCTGATACCCAGTATGTAATATTGTGTTCCTGATTTCTTCTGCTTTAAGAAACTGATTTTATTTTTTCACCTTCAGTAAATGTATTCCTTTTTAATATAATCTTATAAGTATAATCTTTATTGGCATTGTACTTAAATACAACAAAATTGGTTCTTATCTTTCTAGTATTATTTTTCTTCTTAACTTAAGACAGATCTTCATTTCATTTTAGATTCCCATAATCCTGAAATTTATCCTTATCACTTTACTTCTCTCCTCATGATTTCTTATGTACAATTCTAAATTTAAAATTAAATTCTAAATTTAGAATTAAAAGTTTTAGCAGTATTATAGAAAATAACATTAGTTGTAATTTTCATTCAAATTACCTTTCAGGATTTTTTGTTTCTGCCTGAATTATATTTTCTGCTTCATTTTTTTTTAGACTTTTATTTCAGGTGGCTGTTAAACCTGGTTTTAAGTATTCACAGTCTGAAAATACAAATTAGATCATGCTTTCTGAGGTAAAGGATTTCATGTATTGGCAGCTTTGAAATATTTTCTGTTTATTTTATAAATATGCAAAATTGTAGACAGACTTTTGCAGGAGAAAATTTCTTTTCACAATACCATTCTCCAAGATCTTAATATCCAGAGTTGGTCAGCTGGAATGAAGTCCTTGTGAATCAAGAATTTTCAGAAGTGGTTTGACACTGCCTCCTTTTTAGGGCTGAGAGAAAGTGATTGGCCCAAGGTCACCCAGTAGGCAGGATTAATACTTCTAAAAAAGAACATACTTAAATTTCTGCCCATTTCTACTTTTCTACTAATTAAATATAAGGTAATATATTCACAAATTTCTAAATAGAGATAAAGGGGGACTTACTTTGTTGTTCTTTTTTAGAAGTATTAATCCTGCCTACTGGGTGACCTTGGGCCAATCACTTTCTCTCAGCCCTAAAAAGGAGGCAGTGTCAAACCA